TGTAGTTCCTTTTTGGGGCTACCTTCTCGGATCCTTAAGATAAAACTGCTTCAACCAAAACAAGGGAACTACAATGGAGACTATTGGCAAACTGAAATCTTCCCGGATTTATGCCGTTCTGCCTCAACCGCAAGCCCTAAGCCCGAAACCCTAAACCCTATAAGCCCTAAGTCCCTAAGCGGTGCAGGGTTTAGGATGTAATATAGGGGCCTTAATATGTACCTATACTATTCTGAGTTCCTTATTTTAAGTCTAGTACAATATACTCCCAAACCCTATTTTAATTATTAAGGCCCCGATATTATATCGTCCTCCCCCCATCTGACCAGGAGCTCGAGAGCAAAAAGCTGGAGAAGTTAAAGGCGGGTGGGAGTTGTTCAAGGTTCGATGCAGGATGCGAGATTTGCCCCCCCCCCCCTCCCTAAACCCTATCTTTTTTGGTGTCTTTGGGGTTGTGGGCCGAGGTGCTTTGGTTTAGGAATCCAGGGTTGATCACCGAGGTTTTGGTGTAGGTTTGCGGGGTTTGGGAGTTTGAGTTCAGGGTTTTGTGTTTGAAGCCTAAGGCTTCGAAGATCTGGGGTTTGGAGGTTTGGGGGTTTAGGGTTTATGGCAAAGTTTAGGGTTTTGAATGCGATTGGGCTTCAAGGCTTCCAAGCTAGCATCTTGAGTTGGAGGTTCACCGTTCTTTCTGCCCATCCCTCCCTCATTTCGGGCCTATGCTCAACCCTAAACTCTATAAGCCCTAGCCCGTAAAGTGCTCAATGTCTGACCCAGCTGTGGCTTAGAATTGCGCTTCATTAGGCGAGTTTCCCTGGTAAGAGTAGCTAACCTCTGCCCTCACCAAGTTAACTTCCCTGGCCCCGTAGATAGAACATGTTCGAATAAGGTCTCAAAACGTCACGTGGCCATCTCCTAGCACATGCCCTGGCCCAGAGAGTAAGCCTTAAGCTAAGCTCGATGGGGTTTACTCTATGTAAAGTTGGCTTATATGTTGCGGCAGTATATATAGAGGTGCAAACGGCAGTTGAAAGCCCTAACCATCCTTCGCGTCACTACATGAAAACTTGTTCGAGGCATCAGAGTCAGAGAGACCAGTACTCAGATTCTTGAAACAAGATAATTACTAGGCGCTGTCATTATCAACTTTTGAAGCACTTGTCATAATTTGGCGTGGGCGTGTTGGCAAACGATCTACATTAAACTTGTCTCACGAAAGCAGGCTTGCCGTCTTGCGTCTACAAAGCTGTTACCCGGGGTCCAGCAGCTTACCCTAAACCCTAAACCCTAGACCCCAGACCCTAAACCCTAAACCCTAAACCCTAAACCCTAGACCCTAAACCCTTTACCCCAATTACACTCTAAGCCCTGGGCCGCCAGGAAAGCTCCAAGAAGCATCAGGAATATTACGAGACGAAACAGAAGGAGAAGGCCGACAGCCACGGGGGCGAAGGGGAGCTTGGTATAGGAGTAGGCAGCGGAATGATTACCAATACTGTTCCTTAGGGCTCCTTGCAATCTGAATAGATAAATGAATAAAAATATATATATATATACATATATTAATAATGAAGGGTTGAGCAGTTTACTCCAATTCTTACCTGACCTGTTAGAGTCGATGCGATATAGAAACCTCGCTTACGGATCTACGAATCCCTCAGTTGGGTGGGTAAGCTGCCTGTAATGGGCGCCGAAGCTCGTTATCACGTCCCCTCCCTTGGACCGTTTTAAAACACTGCGCCGAGACAGCGAGCACTTATAGTAGAAGCCCAAAAGGTGGAAACCCAATAGCCTCAGTCCTTAAGACTAATGTTTAGGGAATCCCAGCACTATTTGTCCTCAATCGGGTTTCCAACTTTTTGGGGTTTACTATAGTTTTACCTGTTCGAGAGCCGCTTGAGTGCCGTTTGCTCTAGGTCTGCAGGTCTCGACAATTCCCGGGGGTCAGCCAGTGGCTCTCTCGACCTTGCTGTGAGACTACCCATAGGCCCCATAGTAGTTCCTTTTTGGGATTCCAGAATAGGATCCTAAATATAAGCCACAATGGAACTACTTTGGGGCCTATGGGTAAGTCGTCAAGTGACCATGGCTATATGTTGATTGCTCATGATTCGTCTTTGTAGTAGTTTGTGTGCTAGTAGTAGGAGTAGCAGTACTGCTACTAGCGGCACAGGCCTGACCCCCCTCCGCCCTACACTTTTGCCCTTGGCCTTCAATGCATGTTTCGTACAGGAGACGGAGTTGCAAGACAGCCAGAAGAAGCGGGAAGCAGAGACCCTGAAGGCCAGGGCTTACCCGGAGTCTCCATTGTAGTTTCTTGTCTGAGTAAGCCAGTTCTATGTTGAGGATCCTATAAGGTAACCGCGGAAAAGAGCTACAATGGAGACTAGGGGTATGGTGGGTTAGTGTCGACGTTTTAGTGGGAAGTGGAGACATACTCTTATTCTGCGGTTTCGGCTTGGCGGATGTGGCCCCTGTATCCAAGCTGCAGCCCGTGACGGGCTTAGGGCTTAGGGTTTTAGTTTAGGGTTCTAGGGTTACTATTGTACTCATCCGAAATGAACACTAGCAATTGCAGCAGTCGCGCGATCGTAGTAGTGACACTGCAAGTATCCAGAGAAAAAGACTAGACGTGGTAGCGCGGATGGCAGCACTGTTAATAGTAGTAGGATTGGTGATCTCTCATACTATTCCCGCATAGTAGTTAGTATAAGACTGATCACAGGTTCGAAACAACAATAATACAGAGGCTGTCATACTATGATTATAGTACAATACACCCCAAAACCCTGTTCTAATTATTCAGGCCGCCACATTACTGCGCCTTAACCTCGTTTCAGAAAACAACTGACCCAACTGTAGCCTGAAGCCTCGAGGTTGGTTTTGAACAAACTCAAGGCCGTCAACCTACCCAGAGGGTCCGAGTACCCAAACAGCACGTAAGGGTTTTAAGTACCATAATCCTCACCCTGAATGGTTTTTGGACCTTGAAACCCTACTATTTGGTTTAGGGTTTAGGGCCAAGGGTTTAATATAGGGGCCTAATTGCACATGCTATTTTGGGGGTTCCTTATTCTAATTAGAGTATATTATACCCCAAAACCCTATTCTAGTCATTAAGGCCCCTATATTAGTGTTCTGAAACCTGGCACGTAGGCGCCCCTTTTGGCAATCCACTGGCAGGTCATTGAGAAGAAGTCCAGGCTTGCAAAAGAGTGCCACAAGGCACTTGCGGCTTGTGACTTCTGGATTTGTGGCGTAGACCCTAAACCCTAAACCCTAGACCCTAAACCCATGATGTAAGGAGTTTTTGGATTTTGGGGTTTAGGACTTCGGGGCTTTGCTTACCGGGCTTCTGCTTTTGCGGGTTTAGGTGACTCTAGGTGAGCTCGCTCAATCCACTTTCGTATATGTCATGATCATTTTTATTATCGTCGTGACAGTAAACCCTAAACCGTAAACCCCTAAACCCCTAAACCCCTAAACCCCTACACCCTGAACTCTACAAACCGTGGCTCTTGGGTTTCAGGGAGCTTTAGAGGAACACACCAACGGTTTAGGGCTTGGAGCTTAGGGCTTAAAGCTTAGGGTTTGGGGTTTAGGGCTTGGGGCTCAGGGCTTAGGGCTTAGGGTTTACTTTAAGCTACCATAACCTAGTTTTTTGCAGGTACTTACTATAACCTCTAACATAGAATCTTTAGGGACCCAACCAAAAAAGTAGGTTTTGGTAGCTGAAGGTAGGGTTTAGGGAATTAAAAACCCTAAAACCCTAAACCCTAAAACCCTAAACCCCTAAACCCTAAACCCTAAACCCTAAATCCTAAACCCTAAACCCTAAACCCTAAACTTAGCCGGGAGCTCAGGGGGTCGTCGGCCGATCGCTTCCAGGATGTGAGTATCTGGGTGACGGGCGAACTTTAGAAGCCTAAATGGGAGTTTCCGAAAATAAGGGGTACCTTATTTTTGGGGGTCCTTATAATAGGGGTCCCACTATTAGGGTACTATATTAGGGTCCCTATTCTGGCCATATGTAACTCTGGTGCTTTCAGTTTCGGCTTCGGCACCACAGCACTGGCAGAACTTTGGGCAATGCTGCCAATGCTGCCTCCCCGCGGAGGCCGGGCGCGAGAGGTAAGGGAAACCAATGCAACCCACTCAAACATGCGAGCTGAGCTGCCGGCCAGGTATCGATGTCATCGTACTGTCCGAATTCTGCGCACCGCTCGTCTGCCGTGTGCCTTTCGGCGCGACGGTCGAGGACGTCAAGGCAGGTTTCGTATGCTGCAGCAGTGTGGTATGCAAGCGTAATCCCCCGCCGCCACAGGTGCTATGGTCGCGAACGACGAGGCTGCAGTGGACACACGACACCTTCTGTACGATCGGCTACAAGCGAGTATTCAAGGCAGACGGATGGGCACATCAGCCGGATAGAGGGCC